TTCTACACTTTCACTTCAACAGCAACAAAAGAATAACCGGAGCGAACCAAAACAGTCGACTCGGTACTTATAACAACACAAATTTAATTCTCAAAACCACTGAATGAATGATTTACAAACAAAAGTACTTTCCTCATATTATCTGCATCTTTTTCCTCCACTAGCTGCTGTTTTTCTTCTGGGAACTTCTGGGATAACTTTAAAAATCGTTGCTTTTTAGCTTGAGGCTTCGTTTTTGTGTTGTTGTGTTCATTCACGAAAAAGAAAACTGGCTGGACCTGGCGGTGTTTTTCCCGCCTTCTGTCACACCACTTTCCACCATGCTTTGATCACGTACTGCAATGTATCCCGAGCGGGATACATTGTTTAATGAATCACGATCGGGATACATTTGATTTTAGTCAAGGCCACGTGACCAAGAATCAACCAGTGGCAGTCCCTGTTTAGTTGAGTGAAGGTCTAGGAATATAACAATTGCTAATTATCACACCTTTTGTTTTATACTCAATTATAGTTTCCAGTTCCTTTTTCTTGTGCATCACTTGTTCTTGAACAGCAGTTTTGTTATGGTCTAAATTGATATCTTGAAGCTTTTCCAGAGCGACTATTTCCTTTTCAATAGATTTCCTTTTCAGTAGTGTCTTCTCTTTTCTTATTTCTGTTATCCTGGTCTTGGAGTATTTAATTGAACGATTTCTGACTGCAAGCTTAATCATTTCCCATTAGCGACTTTAAGATCCAACGACGCGGACGACAAACGAGAACGTCAAAAAACAATTGGTTTAATTAGCAAAACAACAACTTCGCACGTGCATCACATTTTTTGTACATTTCTTTCCCGTTTTTGCACGACTACGACGTGAAAATGCCTAATTTCGCGTTTTATGGAGGACGTAAACAACCAACGACGGAATTTTATTTCTCCTTCTGAGCTTGAATTTGGTCCCTTGAAATTCAGCTTCAGGGTAACCTGAGATCAGGCCGAATTTGAGCGGTTCTCATACATTCTCTCTAACGGCTACCGCTGAAACTTTTCGTTTCGCCTTGCCCGCCGGAATGTAATTTTCAAAGCGAAACGAAAATAGAGCCTGATCTCAGGTTAGCTTCAGGGGGGTTCGCCTACAATTGACAAAGTAAGTGGGTAGGAATAATCGCTATAAAGACTGAAAGAACGCAAATTCACTTTTTAAGCGACGTTCTTGTCGCCGTCGCGTTGTTGGATCTTAAAGTCCTTAATAACACTTCATCAACTTCATTTTGATAATGACTGTTTGTATTCGCGCCAGTCCCTTGCAACGCGAGTACAA